ACATGGAAGACCCTGGAAGGTTATGGATCATTCTAGAAGACACTGGAGCAACCTAGACCTCTCCAGAACATGGTAGAATATTCTAGAAACATATGGAAGCATATATAGTATGTTAGATAGTTCTAGAGTTATCTAGTAGGTAGTAAGTGTATACTAGTATCTAGAACCTTCCTAAGAGGCCTATAAATAGGTGTGGAGCTCATTTGTTCCAAACCATCCAAGAAAGCCTCAAAGAGAGCAAAGTGTGTAGTAGTCTCACAAAGTGTAAGGTCTTCTTAAGTGTCTTAATAAAAGTCTTTTTGTTTCCCATACAAAGAGTCGTGTTCAACAATCTGGTATCAGAGCAAGGTTTCTTGATAGTGAGAACGAGTGATTCTCGTTGTATCGTGAGTAGTTTGTGACTCTGCAAGTTTAGTGTCGAAACTAGCTTGTTTGGTATTACCGAGGTACTGCCAACACGATGGGTGATCTCCAAGTCGTCGGAGGAATCAAGAAACTCAACAACAACAACTACAAAACATGGGAAACATGTATGAAGTCCTACTTACAAGGACAAGATTTATGGGAGGTCGTTGGCGGAAGCGAAACCACGCCTCCGGAGGAAGATGTTAATGGCGCTCTACGCAAATGGAAAATCAAAGCAGGCAAAGCAATGTTTGCCTTGAAGACCACAATCGAAGAAGAGATGTTGGAGCATATTCGGGACGAGAACACACCGAAAGAAGCTTGGGACACGTTTGTGACGCTTTTCTCAAAGAAGAATGATACAAGACTACAACTTTTGGAGAACGAGCTATTATCAATCTCACAACGTGACATGACGATTGCTCAATATTTCCACAAGGTCAAGTCGATATGTCGGGAGATTACTGAACTAGATCCGCAATCCGTCATTACAGAAGCTCGAATGAAGAGGATCATCATCCATGGACTGAGGCCGGAATATAGAAGCTTCGTTACTGCTGTACAAGGATGGCCCGTTCAACCATCACTTGTAGAGTTTGAGAATTTGTTGGCCAGCCAAGAAGCTATGGCTAAGCAAATGGGAGGCATCACGCTGAAGAGTGAAGAAGAAGCACTCTACACAAGTAAAAGTCGGAGGAATTTCAAGCCACCTTCTAAAGAAGGATACAAAAATGCTGACAAAGGGAAGAGTCAGCCAGGAACATCACAACCATGGAGATCTCAAAAGACCGACAATAAGAGTTCTCGGGGGAGGAGGTTCGAAGGCAACTGCAACAATTGTGGAAAGTGGGGCCACATGTCCAAAGATTGTTGGTCAAAGAAAAAGTTTGTGGAAAGCAATGTCGTAACTTCCAAAAAGGAAATAGAGGACGAATGGGATGCTGAGGCATTATGCGCCATAGAAGAAAACGAGTTGGCGCTCATGGCAATGATGGGAGAGCGTATCAACTATGAGAATGACTGGATCATTGATTCAGGATGCTCCAATCACATGACTGGTGATCAGAACAAACTACAAGACGTGAAGGAGTACAAAGGGAGTCGCATGGTACTTACAGCCAACAATGCACGACTTCCAATTGCTCAGATTGGCAAAACAACGATCATGCCTGGTAATAAATCTGACATGGTGTCACTACATAATGTCTATCACGTGCCAGGTATGAAGAAGAACTTGTTATCGGTATCGCAACTAACATCATCAGGAAACTACGTCTTGTTGGCCCACAAGATGTGAAGGTCTATCGAGATCTTAAAATATCAGAAAAGCCAACAATGGAAGGACGGAGAGTGGAGTCCGTCTATGTTCTCTCCGCAGAGTCTGCCTATGTAGATAAGACTCGTAAGAACGAGACAGCAGATCTATGGCATGCACGGCTGGGACATGTTGGTTATCACAAGTTGAAGGTAATAATGGAGAAATCCATGCTCAGTGGCTTACCTCAACTTGAAGTTAAAACAGATGTTGTTTGTGCTGGATGTCAGTATGGTAAAGCTCATCAATTACCATACAAGGAGTCAAATTTTAGAGCAAAGAAGCCACTAGAGTTAATTCACTCGGATGTGTTCGGTCCAGTCAAGCAGACATCAATTAGCGGGATGCGGTACATGGTGACATTCATTGATGATTATTCGAGATATGTGTGGGTTTTCTTCATGAAAGAAAAATCTGAAACATTCTCAAAGTTTCTAGAATTCAAGACAACGGTCGAAGGAGAAGTGAGAAAGAAGATTCGGTGTCTACGCTCAGACAATGGAGGAGAATACACCTCGGAAGAATTCAATAGCTATCTAAAAGAATGTGGTATACGTCATCAATTCACATGTGCCAACACACCTCAACAAAATGGTGTAGCTGAGAGAAAGAATCGACATCTTGCAGAAATTTGTCGAAGCATGCTACACGCGAAGAATGTCCCAGGAAGATTTTGGGCTGAAGCAATGCGAACTGCTGCCCATGTGATCAATAAACTTCCCCAACCAAGGTTAGGTTTCATCTCACCATTTGAGACACTATGGAACATGAAACCTACTGTTAGCTACTTTCGAGTATTTGGTTGTGTCTGCTACGTATTTGTACCTAGTCATTTACGTAGCAAGTTTGACAAGAAAGCAGTCAGGTGTATATTTGTTGGATATGACAATCAAAGAAAAGGATGGAGGTGTTGTGATCCAACAAGCGGAAGATGCTACACTTCAAGAGATGTAGTGTTCGATGAAGCATCTTCATGGTGGTCCTTAGAGAAGAAAGTATTACCAGACTCGGAAAATATTGAAGAAGTTTTAAAACAAAAGATGGGGGAGCAAACTGCACACATTTGGTCAAGTGTTGATACACCTGAAGATCCGAGCGACACTGATGTCATTGAGCAAGAAGTAACTCAAACAAGTAATGCCGGTGAAAGGGAGACGCCGCCTCCACAACTTCGAAGGACGGAAAGAATCCGAAAGCCTAATCCCAAGTATGCTAATGCGGCTATTTTAGAAGACGGTGTTAAAGAGCGGAGACATATGAAGAAGCAATTAAGAATAAAGCTTGGCAGAAGGCAATGGAAGAAGAAGTTACAGCCTTAAAGCAGAATCAAACGTGGGAACTGGTACCAAGACCAAGAGATATAAAACCCATTTCCTGCAAGTGGGTTTATAAATTAAAGCGACGCACAGATGGATCAATTGAAAGATACAAGGCTCGTTTGGTGGCTCGAGGGTTCTCACAACAATATGGACTGGACTATGATGAAACATTTAGTCCAGTGGCGAAGATAACTACTGTACGGGTGCTGCTAGCTCTTGCAGCTAGTAAAGACTGGAAATTATGGCAGATGGATGTGAAGAATGCTTTCCTGCATGGAGAATTAGATCGGGAGATCTACATGAACCAACCAAAGGGATTTGAGGATGCAGTTAATCCCACTCATGTGTGCAAGCTGAGAAAAGCTCTTTACGGATTGAAGCAGGCACCAAGAGCCTGGTATGGTAAGATTGCTGAATTTCTTACCCGAAGTGGTTATTCAGTTGCACATGCAGACTCAAGCCTGTTTGTTAAAGAAAAAGAAGGGAAGTTGGCAATTGTGTTGGTTTATGTGGATGACTTGATCATCACCGGGGATGACGAAAGAGAAATCCATCAAACAAGAGAAAATCTATCGGTGCGATTCCAAATAAAGAGCTGGGGGAGCTTAAACACTTCTTGGGGTTAGAAGTTGATCGTACAAAGGAAGGGTTGTTCCTCTGCCAACAAAAGTATACAAGAGATATACTTCAAAAGTTTGGCATGTTGGAGTGTAAGCCAGTATCAACACCAATAGAGCCAAATACCAAGATATGTGCTCATGAAGGAAAAGAGTTGGACGATGGAACGATGTATCGACAACTAGTAGGTAGTCTTATCTACCTAACTTTATCTCGGCCTGACATTGCTTATGCAGTTGGAGTTATGAGTCGATACATGCAAAATCCGAAGAAACCTCATTTGGATGCTGCCCGACGGATCTTAAGATATGTCAAAGGTACAATTGACTATGGTCTCTTGTATAAAAAGGAGAAGACTGCAAGTTGGTTGGATATTGTGATGCTGACTATGCAGGAGACCATGATACCCGAAGATCAACCACTGGGTATGTGTTCAAGCTTGGGTCGGGGCCAATATCATGGTGTAGTAAAAGACAACCAACCGTATCATTGTCAACCACAGAAGCGGAGTACAAAGCAGCGGCCGTAGCAGCTCAAGAAAGTACATGGTTGGTACTCCTAATGGAGGACTTACATCAAAAAGTTGACTATGCGGTACCACTTCACTGCGATAACCAATCTGCAATTCGGCTGGCAGAAAATCCAGTATTTCATGCTAGAACAAAGCATGTGGAAGTGCATTATCACTTTATCAGAGAGAAAGTCTTGATGGAAGAAATTGAGATGCGACAGATCAAGACCGATGACCAAATAGCAGACTTGTTCACCAAAGGACTGAGTATTGGAAAATGTGAAGGTTTTCGCTGTCAGCTTAACATGGTACGAAGAATGAGGGCTAGTGCTGAGGGGGAGTGTTAAAGATCATCACTAGCCCAATAGAACAAATATTATCTAGAAGACTTTAGCTTGTTCTAGAACGCTCTAGAAGATTCTAGAACATTATGGAAGACTATGGAAGACTCCGGAATATACCGGAAGAGTCTAGAATACTCTAGAACGACATGGAAGACCCTGGAAGGTTATGGATCATTCTAGAAGACACTGGAGCAACCTAGACCTCTCCAGAACATGGTAGAATATTCTAGAAACATATGGAAGCATATATAGTATGTTAGATAGTTCTAGAGTTATCTAGTAGGTAGTAAGTGTATACTAGTATCTAGAACCTTCCTAAGAGGCCTATAAATAGGTGTGGAGCTCATTTGCTCCAAACCATCCAAGAAAGCCTCAAAGAGAGCAAAGTGTGTAGTAGTCTCACAAACTGTAAGGTCTTCTTAAGTGTCTTAATAAAAGTCTTTTTGTTTCCCATACAAAGAGTCGTGTTCAACAATCCCTTCTGCAAAATGGGTATTCGTATGCCTCGGATCCTTCAAGCAAGACAAATACTCCAACGGTCTTTTTCAAATGGAACCCACACAACAGCAACAGACCTATCAAAAGGCTATTTTGCAGTTTATGTTGGAGAGCAAGAAAATCAGTGTTTTGTGATTCTAGTGTCATTGTTACGCCAGTATTCATTTCAAGACTTATTACGTGAGACAGAGGAAGAGTTTGGATTTGACCATCCAATGGGCGGCCTAACAATCCCGCGTGGTGAGCAGATAATTCTTTGTTCTTGCAAGTCGCTTGGGATCATTTTGAAGTCAAGTTACATCATTCTATTTGTTAACACATTTTTGTAAAGCACCGATCACAGACCATTTTGCAACATGTGAGACTGATCAGTCATTTGTCCCGGTTGTATAAAATATGAATTTTGAGTTGTTTGGAATACCATGTATATTCTTTGACGATATAAGATTATACTTGAAGGAGAAACAAAATTCATTGTCAATATGTTTTTCAAAAACGTGTGTCCGCTCAATTTAAAAAATAGAATCAATATATATAGGGATATTAGACTTTATTTTCCTTGGGTTGCAGCCTAATATAAGCTGATAACAACACATGGTTATACCGATATGAGGAACAAAAATCAAATATAAATGCTTTTTTCATTGTCCTATATGTAACGGTCAAAGTGCATAGTCGGGATTAAACATAATATTTCTACAGGTGCTCTATGATTCTTCGTTAATGTCATCATGCAATATTTTCACATATTAATTAGTTGTAGTAAGAAAATTGCATAGCTTTATCCTAGTACTCATTCACTTTAAGTTAAATGATTTTTGGGTGTATAAGTAATCAAAACATTAGTTAAAAATTGTATAACTCTATTTGTATATCTAATCACTCGGTTCGTTTTTCATACGACCGGATTGTTTTCAAGTGGGATCCAATTGGGTCTTGTAATCTATCAATATTTTGCAAACATATATAACAATTTGGTTAGGGAACAAAAGCATGTGAGAGTTAATGTTTGATATATCATTATCACAAGTTTTTAGACACAACTGCTATGCATTGTTCACCAATCATTTTTTATAAGTCTGTACAACTTGATAAGAACCACATTGTTTATTGAGTTAAAATACTAGAAGTCATAACATTACCAATTTATATTACCAAATATTTGGTCTCCTGGATAACTCTGAATTTTAAACAATCTTTCCCAACCGTTGTAAATGAAGCGAAATTTTTTCCCATTGTGGACTTTTGTTAAAAGAGGCTCAACCTGAGAGGCAAGACCGAAATCTTCCACCCAATTCCAATCTATAATTGGAGCTACCATGAATTCCCTTTTCCTTAGATTTTTGAATCTAAATTGATAACGTTCCAACTTTTCATTCTTAGTTTGTGAGGGCCAATCAAACCATTTATGAATATGTGGATCTATTGGAAAATCCCTTCTTACTTGAGTTCATTTCTTGCTAATTACTCTTCTTCTCTCTTCATCTTCGTCGAAATTAGGTCTTATAGGGTTTCTTCAGAAATATTCTCTCTAAAAATTCCGTCCTCTAGGCCTTCTAATTCGTCCTTTATATAAGATGAATATTACCATGAATCAGCCACCGCATCGTGACCAATTCCTTTCAACACCATGGTAATAGTTTCCTTATCGTAGTCAGCAAGGTAATATACTTTAGTTGAGACCCTTCCAGACGCCACGACATAGGCCAGAGTTTACTGCACCGTTGTTATTGCCTTGAGACACGCTTTTGAGGCTTCTTTATTCTTCATTTGCAAACTTCACCCTCCAACTTCCAGTTTTGTCCATTTATCGGATTGGAAATAAGTAGATGATTCTTCAACCTTTTTATCCTTTTCTTGTGAAATGCAGACTCTGGGATGTCAAATGGTGGTAAAATTGAAAACTTAGATCCCCTGGTCATGTGCTACTACTGAACAAAACAAAAGAAAACACGTAAAACGAATATAAACTAAATAAATCGAAAATTGTTTTGTCAGTTACCATGCCGTGGAAGATGAATCTCAACGCCGCATTCTCTGCCTTCACAGAAAACCGATTTAAACATAAAAATTAACTTAATGTGGTTTTTACCGCACAAAAAGGACCGATTAACTGATAGCAATTAAACCTTTAATTGAATAGCCATTCCTCCGCAACAACACCAAAAACTTTGATGATATTTTTATACGTATACACTTTTGAAAGCTTTAAATTTATAACCCTAATCTATTTGACTAAAGTAAAACACAAATTAGGCAGTGTACTTATTCGTGTAGTAGTGTAGCAAAGTAAGTATGAGGTCGAACATAGGGAATAGTGTCAATTTGGAAATTAAAGTTGCTAAAATTTAAGCAATTTATTAGAATAAAAACTAATGAAAAAAGGTTTTTATCTTATCTTGCATGTTCAGAAAAATTTAATTAACTATTAACTAGAAAGTAACTAAAAACTAGTTTTAATCAGAGAATTAAGACACTTTTGTTTAGCTTCGAATCCATTTTCTTTCATGTGAGTAATTTCGACTATGGATTACTTTTGTTGCTTACCAATTTTATAATCACTAACGGTCATGGTCAGGCTACTTAGCTTACTTCAATTTATGACACTTAAATCACAAGATCATGTAGACTAAGGACACTTAATTGATAGTAGTGTAGTAAAGTAAGTACAAGGTCGAACACAGGGAATATTGTCAATTCGGAAATTAAAGTTGCTAAAATTTAATCAAATTATTAGAATAAAAACTAATGAAAAGAGGTTTTTATCTGATTTTGCATGTTCAGAAAAATTTAATTCACTATTAACTAGAAAGTAACTAAAACAAGTTTTAACCAGAGAATTAAGACACTTTCGTTTAGCTTCGAATCCCTTTTCTTTCCTATGAGTAATTACGACTATGGATTACTTTTGTTGCTTACCAATTTTTCTAATCACTAACGTTCATGGTCAGACTACTTAGCTTACTTCAATTTATGACACTTAATCACAATTATCATGTAGACTAAGGACACTTAATTGATTTTGTTGAATATTTTGACTTTGAATGACTAGATATAGGTCTGTCCTCCTATGGTTAATTCGGAAAAACTAGCAATTATTGCAGTCAAATAAGGCTCTCTAACACAATTAAGCAACTAACCTTGTTACCTATACTAGTACGTGGTCAATCTCTATCTCTAGCAATTTAATGGTAATAACTACTAGGAGTTCATGAAATCAATGGCCAAATAATTACAAAGAATTTAAAGGCAAGTGAATAGAGATAGAAACATCAACATGTAAGGATTAATATACCAAACACATATAAAAACCAACATTAATAATCTGTTGGTCTAATATTAACTTATAGTAAATTAAGGTTCATCTACACTAAATGAAAGCTAAGGTTATTAGCTCATTATTGCAATAGAAAAACAACTAAACAAATTTTTTATTAAACTAAACATCATGCAAACCAAATGCTTAAGTTCATTTCTTGCTAATTACTCTTCTTCTCTCTTCGTCTTCGTCGAAATTAGGTCTTATAGGGTTTCTTTAAAAGTATTCTCTCGAAAAATTCCGTCCTGTAGACCTTCTAATTCTTCCTTTATATAGGATGAAAATTACCACAAATTAGCCACCGCATCGTGGCCAATTACTTTCCACATCGTGGTAATAGTTTCCTTATCGTAATCAGTAAGGTAATATAATTTAGTTGAAACCCTTCCAGACGCCATGATGTGGGCTAGAGTTTGTTGTGTCGTTGTTATTGCCTAGAGACATGCTTTTGAGTCTTATTTTTTCTTCATCCGCAAACTTCACCCTCCGACTTCTAGTTTTGTCCTATTTGGTCCCTTGTCTTAAAAAATGTCTTCTTTTGGCTTAAATATGTAATTGATGTAAACAAGTAACAAAAGTCATTGTATTTAGACCAAAATACCACTAAAATATAATGAAATAACTAATAAAAATATGTATAAATATGACAATATCGCATATTGAATCAAACAAGGTGCAATCTAGGTGTAAACTCTAGAACTACCAATTTGACCAAAAGTTTAACCCTGCAAAAAGTTAACGGTCAAAGTCAAAGGTCAAAAAAATCATCATCAGCAAGCTACCATGTTGTGGCCACCCTTTGGCCATGTCATGGTCGCAAAATGACAAAATTGTCGGCTGATCCCAGTTACCATGTCGTGGCGGCCAGAAGGCCACGTCCTTGGAACTGCATCAAAACAACTTAATGAAATAAGTTGTTTTCCTTCATCCTTAAGAACTCCAAAGCTCATATATGATTCTTCCCAAATTCTTGACAACTAAAGTTTCCATCTTTATCTATTAAGATATCCCAATAAGCCAAGATCTCAAAACACAGGTCCTTAATGGCCACTTAAGGCATGAAGTCACCCATTAAGCACTTAATCCTTACAATCTCCAGTCCAGGCAAAAATAAACCGAAGGGTTTTAGGGATCCTAATGACCTCTAAAAATGCAAACTTTTTCGAAAAGCATGCACCATGCTTGTCATTTCCAAAATCTAGGTCAAAAGATGAAATATGACCTAAAACTCATGTAATGTCTTCCAACCACTCCCAATTCCTAGATCTATATGATATGATGCTCAAGGGACCTAGAGAAACCATAAAGTTTCAAACTTTATCTCTTCAAACCATACAAACCACATCAAAAGGGACCAAAACATGACATAAAACCTAGATCTAAAGAGGAAGACATTAGAAGATGGAAGCTTGAGGACTTAAAAGAGTCTAGAAGACGCACGTAAGTGAGGGGAAAGATTTGATTGTTGAACCAAGGCGCCAACTCTTTTTCTTCTTCCTTTAAACCTACCAAAAGCTTGCAAAATGAGCACAAAAGCTTCAAAAGAACAAGCGTTTGACCAAAGGTTCGTTCGGAGGTGATGAAGGTTGAGGGTGGAGAAAACCATAGCCATCACTTCCTTTAAATATGGCTGAAAGCCCATGAATTAGGGTTTTTCAAAAAAATGGTTGCCATGACATGGCCAACATAGTGCCACATCGTGGCACTCCTTTAATATGTGTGTCTCAAGCAAAATTTGCCACTTTGTGGCAATCCTTTAATATGTTACTTGTTTGATCTTTTGGGTTGGCAGAAATAAAATTAGGTCAAATTTCCCATATTGTGTAAAGTAGCTAGACATGTTTCGGCAATGCCGATCTCAACAGTTGAATCTGAGTCGACATTTAGTACCGGTGGTAGGCCTATCAGTAAGTATATGATTTCTAACTCTAGCCCCACATAAACTTTGATTTGTGCACAAGATAGGATGCAATTTTCTTGAGTAGATCATGGACTTAGTTATCTTATGAG